CTTCTGGCCAAGTCGGGGTAGTGGGGCAAGTCTGGCAGGACAAAGAAATTGTTTCTGAGACTCGAGTGATGGCGGCAGAATACCTTTTACATCTTAAGGTTTCCTTTGTCGGATTTAATAAAAAAGACAAACACCCAATCCTGCCCACACCTTACTCCATCCTCTTCACACAGAGCACGTAAACAAAGATCCCAGCGCCTTTAGGAAGCTCGTCTCCGGGAGAAGGGGAACGTGTGGCCCAGGAGTGCCCAGCCAGAGTCACATCAGCCCCTAGATACGGAGATGGGCGGGTCAGCAATCACGGGCCTCTGATTCACAGGGTGGTTTCCACTGTGTCTGCCGGAGGCCACAGGACCCATTGTTACAGAATTTTTTAGAAACTCTCTCGTCTACTTCCCGCCCTTACCCATCCACCCACGCACATGTAGTACCACTTCTGCAATGGTGTGACCAGCCTTCTCATGCTTCTCACGTCTTCTCTCCAATAGCCCTGTGAAGCCAGAGGAGATGGATTGGTCTGAGCTATATCCAGAGTTCTTCGCTCCACTGCCTCAAAATCAGAGCCACGATGACCCAAAGGATAAGAAAGAAAAGAGAGCTCAGGCCCAAGTGGAGTTTGCAGACATAGGCTGTGGCTATGGTGGCCTGTTAGGTAATACTCTATCTGGCCCTTTCTCTGGGCAAGCAGAGGCAACACCTAGGTTCTGCCACCTCAGCAGGTTTGGTGGGGCCATAGTTGGCCTTTCCCCTTCGGACCAGACATTGGTGCTGTGACATCAGTGTGGAGAGTCTCCACCTTCCCTCCACTCTGGGTTTGTGGCCTTTGCCCTGGAGAAGGGAGGAGACTGCCTCAAGTGCCTCTTAAAACTTGGGTTGTCCCGTCTGGCCTGGCCCCTGGCCCCAGTCACTACGTGAGCCATTTCACCTACCAAGTGCCGGGTCAGTGAGCTGGTCAGCACAAGCGTCAGAGATTAGCCACTGTGACCAGTGATCCTGAACTGTCTTTCTCAGGGATTCCACCACTCCCCCCTTCCTCACCAGAGCTCATTCCTTTTGCTCCACTCTCCTGTTTTTGAGTTCCTCTAGTATTATCGGTATTGCCCCAGACATGCTTGCTAAGCCCCTTCTCTATTTTTAGATCTTCCCATAGAGATAATGGACTGACAGAGAGGAAGAGCATGCTACTTGGTGGCAGAAAACTTTGGTTCAAGTTCCAGTTCTGTCTCTTCTTAGCTCTATGACCTTGGACATTTCTGATCTCAGTTTCCTCATATTCACAATTTACCAGGGTTCTAAGAGGATTAAATGAGAGAATGTGTGGAAACACTAAAGCACTTGCAAATATATATGTATTCCCAGGCCCTCCCACCTCCAGTCCTAGTGACAATTTTCCAATCTACCCCAGCCCTCTTCTCCAGCATAGAACCATCCATATAGACCTCTCTGTCCACATTTGCCATTCCTGATTTTGGTAGTTGCAGACTGAGGTTTCCTTTCCTGTATTGACTTCTTTGAAGAAGTTCCTGTGGTATGAGGTTGATGATTCGTTTCCTATTTCTGTATCCAGTGGAACTGTCACCGCTGTTCCCAGACACACTGATTCTGGGTCTGGAGATACGGGTAAAGGTCTCAGACTATGTACAGGACCGGATTCGAGCCCTACGAGCAGCTCCTGGAGGTGGCTTCCAGAACATTGCCTGTCTCCGTAGCAATGCCATGAAACACCTTCCTAACTTCTTCTGCAAGGGCCAGGTGGGGAGAGGCCCTGGTGGGTTAGGCTGGTAGGAAGGTGGGACATGGAGGCCAGGCTCTCACAACCCAGTTGGTGCATGTCTGTCTCACAGCTGACAAAGATGTTCTTCCTCTTCCCTGACCCACATTTCAAGCGGACGAAGCACAAGTGGCGAATCATCAGTCCCACACTGCTGGCAGAATATGCCTACGTGCTGAGAGTTGGGGTGAGTCGGGAGTGGGAGAAAGGGTGGAATGAGTGGCCTATTCAGGGACCTTCCTCTAAGAATTCAGTGGAAATGCATCCCATCATCTCACTGCTCAATCACATGCAGTCCCCCTGATTTTGCCTGTGCAGGGGCTGGTATATACTATAACTGATGTGCTGGAGCTTCACGAATGGATGTGTACCCATTTTGAAGGGCACCCCTTATTTAAGCGTGTGCCTCTGGAGGAGCTGGTAAGTTGGGGGCTGAAGGGAAATTGTGAAGATACAGGCCCTTTCCAGACTGGTTTTATATTCTTTGAACCCAGCTCAGTGCCAAGAGGATGGGATGGGAATCTCAGGCCAGGGGTGGTCAAGGACTTATTGGATCCTTCTCCCAGAGTGAAGACCCCATTGTGGGACATTTGGGAACCTCAACTGAGGAGGGAAAGAAAGTTCTACGCAATGGAGGAAAGAATTTCCCTGCCATCTTCCGAAGAATACAGGATCCCACCCTCCAGGAGGTGACCCCCAATCCTACCCCTCCTGCTCACTGACTGCTTATCTATCTTCAACTGGACTCCATCTTCCAGGAACTAGAAAGAAGAACAAACCCCTGGACCTTCCCAGCTGAGACTGCTGGGGCTTATAGGCAATAGTCTCTCAAAATAGTTGGGGGACTGCCCAGGGCAGAACCCTGGTTTTCACAACTACCCTTGCCTCCTCTCACCTTCCTGCCCCTCCGTTGCCAGCAGAAAGCAGAAGAAGCTAACTGGGAAAGTCAGAAGACCTTGGACCAGAAGGGATGTTTGGGAGGGTGTGGGGTCTTGCTCCCCCTTAGCACTTCCTTCTCCCTCTCGGATCTCTCCTCAGCTGGAGTGAGGAATACAATTCTCCACTGTCCATCTAAACAGCCTGTAGGTTCAAATCACCTGTCCACTTGTGTGTGCTTTGCAGTCCTGGGGATAACATATACGTGGGCACATGTCCATGCTGGTATTTTTCGGGAGGGTGAGAGTGTATATCAGGTGCCTCCTCCCATCCTCTCCCTGCCTGAGACTTGACCTGGGGAATGTGTGCTCCCTTTATTGTGGCTGTCTCTGAAGAGTTCCAGGGAGGGTGTGGAGTTGGAGACCCTCTCTTTTTTCATGTTGACTTTCCATTCCAGAACTTCAGGGCTGACTGGCTGACACACAGCTTGATGGGGGTGGGATGGGGGAATAAGGAGCAGAGAACTAAACTGTGGAAGACTCTGAGACTAAAAAGTGCAAAGGGGCTGCTGACTGGAAAGCCCCCCAAAAGGGACAGAGTCAGCTGGAGATTCAGAACACTCATTTAGCCCTTGCTCTGTCCAGTAGCCCAGAGAAGTTCTGAACTTTTCTAATCTGCAAAAGTTCCTTCATTTCTGCTCAAGCCCCAAATTCCCATGGCTAGGACAGGGCTTGTTGACCTAAAAGGACACCCCTCCCCAAGGAACAAAGTTAAAGGCTCCAGGAGCCATTGTACCCCATTAACTCACCTGCCATCTTCCCACTGTCAGGTACAGGGGATGGGGGAGATGTGTTAGTACAAGAAAATTCTCACATCCAGAGAAGGTGCAGCCTGATGAGCCAAGAATATGGGGACAGCTATGGCTGTGCCTCTTCTCTGCTTGCTTCCCTTCCCGGAGGAGCTGGAGAATGGGGAATTCCTAAGAATGGGCTAAGGGGCCTGACTCCCTGAGGAAGTGGTGGAAATACCAAGGAATGACTCTATCTTGGTCACCTAAGTTTCACTAAATAGTCTTTCCCAGGAAGAGATCTTCAGGCTGCTGGACTTAGGGCACCAGCCCAGGAGGAGAAACTGAGGCAGGCCTCCCATGCCAAGAGGGTGATTGCAACGTGAGACCCAAGGGAGCTGTGCAGGCAGCCTCAGCCCCTCCTACTGTTCCTAGGTGCTAATCCCTGCACGGACCACTCCAAAGAGGATTGGCTGAGTAGCTTGGAGAGGGGGCGTCGCCACTACCTTGCCCAAGGGTTAAATAGGGTCACAGGCAAGATGCTGGGAAGTGCTGTATTTCCTCGAATCAGACCATGACCCAGACCCTCAAGCTCGCCTCCAGAGTGTTGCATCGCAGCCGCTGTGCTTCTGAGCTGGGAGCCTCACGGGGCTCCAGAGGCTCCGACTCAGCACTCCGGAGCTTGGCAGACATCCCAGGCCCCTCCACGCCGGGTTTCCTTGCCGAACTTTTCTGCAAGGGGGGGCTGTCACGGCTACACGAGCTGCAGGTATATTGGGACTCTTCCTGGGACTAAATGCTGGGCAAACAGACTAGTGCAGAACGTAGCAGGGAAGACCAGTGAGAACAGATGCCCATGAGTTACAGAAAAGGCAAGTTGGTATTTGGGGATTTAGCTCGAGAGGCATAGAGGCCATCCCGACACGCAGCAGAGGAGTGCACTCAAAAAGAGCCTCTGGGTACAGAAGTCTGGAAACCCGGTAGGTCCAGGGCAAGGGGGTGGGGGTGCAGAAACGCAGAGTGTCTTCCCCGCGCATTCTGCGTTTTGGGCTTAAAGCTACCTGTGCTCCTGTGCATTCAGTGGGGTCTCGTCCTGAAATGGACAGTCCACGTGTAAACCTTTTGGGATTTTGCTTAGACATTCAGGACCTCTGTTTGGTCACCTCTGGTGTCTGAATGAGAGGTCCTGAATGTCTAAGCAAAATTCTTCCGTTTTGCCTGTCACACTCGGACTTCCTAGGGATGGGAAGTGGGGGAAAGAGGAGGGGGAGTTTGTAGCATTAGGTCCCTGTACTAGCTGGGAGCTCGCTGGGAGTCCCCTTCTAGTGTCTCCAGCGTCCGCCGCGCCCATTCTCACAGGTGCAGGGCTCCGCGCGCTTCGGTCCTGTGTGGTTGGCCAGCTTCGGGAAGGTGCGCACGGTGTACCTGGCGGCCCCTGCCCTCGTTGAGCAGCTGCTGCGACAGGAGGGGCCTAGGCCCGAGCGCTGCAGCTTCTCACCGTGGGCTGAGCACCGTCGCCAGCGCCAGCGGGCTTGCGGACTGCTCACGGCGTGAGTCCTCTCCCGCCCCAAGCCCCGAAGCCCTGCTGTATCCCTCTCCTTTGGCGGGTCTGGAGACATCTGGGGATGTGGAGGAAGGGCGGCCGTTTCCCCCAGACTCCAGCAAATAGGGATTTGCACCCCTGTCTGTTTCGAAAGCTCAGGTAGAGCCCGGCCCTCATCCCACACTCCCCTCCTCCCGGTCCTTACCTTTTGAGGCCAGAATCCTGTGTACCGGCCAAGGGGCTAGGGGACCAGGATCCAGATGTAATGTAAGGTTCTGTGACTCAGGTTGCCCAGGAACCCCAGGAACCCAGGCCCCTCTGGGACAGGAAGTGAGTAACGAGGAAAGGGGGTGAAAAGCGGGCCGAGGAGGGGCAGGTTTCAGTGCCCGGGGAGCAGATGCAGCCCCACTCCTAGCCACGCGGGCCGTGCGCGCTCCTCCACTGCAGAGACGCTGAACTGCCTACAGCCCCATCTGCCCTGATGCGCCCCCTCTCTGCACCCTGCAGGGAAGGCGAAGAATGGCAGAGGCTCCGCAGCCTCCTCGCCCCACTCCTCCTGCGGCCTCAAGCGGCTGCCCGCTACGCCAGGACCCTGGACAACGTGGTCCTTGACCTTGTGCGGCGACTGCAGCGCCAACGGGGACATGGTGCTGGGCCACCCACCCTGGTTCGTGATGTAGCCGGAGAGTTTTACAAGTTTGGACTAGAAGGTGAGTCCCAAGACAGTTCGGGGCAAGCTTAGGAGGCACCGCCGGGGTTTGGTGGGTGGAGGTGGGGTCTCCGGGTGCCCTGACAGCGCCCCCTCCCGGCCAGGCATAGCCGCTGTGCTGCTGGGTTCGCGCCTGGGCTGCCTGGAGGCTGAAGTGCCTCCAGACACAGAGACCTTCATCCGCGCAGTGGGATCTGTGTTTGTGTCCACACTGCTGACCATGGCGATGCCCAAATGGCTGCACCGCCTCGTGCCGGGACCATGGGGCCGCCTCTGCCAAGACTGGGACCAGATGTTTGCATTTGGTAAGGCACAGAAAAGAAGTGGGGATAAGGGAACATAAAGCTGTTCAGGTATGGCGAGGCACCCCTGCACCTTTTCCCCAAGCAGCCCAGCAGCACGTGGAGCGGCGAGAGGCCGAGGTCGCCATGAGGAGCCAGGGAACGCCTGAGGAGGATTTGGGATCTGGGGCGCACCTGACCTGCTTCCTGTTCCAGAAAGAGTTGCCTGCCCCATCCATCCTGGGGAATGTGACGGAGCTGCTACTGGCCGGAGTGGACACAGTAAAGTTCTCCCCCCATGTTGTGAGCCCCACTTTCAGAGCTTAGCCTCCCCAGTCTTAGTCCTGCTGCAGAGGACTAACTTTGGCCCTCTAGACCAGCTAGGGTTAGCATCTCCTGCGCCCCAGACAGCTTTATATTCTGCTCCCTATGTTGGTTCCCCACTCCTAATGCCTTTGATGCTCTCACCTGTCCTTTCAGGTGTCCAACACGCTCACCTGGGCTTTATACGAACTCTCTCGCCACCCTGAAGTCCAGACAGCTCTCCACTCTGAGATCACAGCTGCCTTGGGCCAGGGGTCGGATACCCACACCTCAGCCACTGCTCTGTCCCAGCTGCCCCTGCTGAAGGCAGTCCTCAAGGAAGTGCTAAGGTGAGGGGGAAGGAGAGGAGGAGCTAGAGAAAATGCTGGGGAAGGGCTGGGAGAGCAGATAGTAGGTGGGAGCAGGGAGAGAGCAGAGAAAAATGGTACTTTACTCCGCCAAGAATGTGTTTGGAAGTTGCTGGGATGAGAGGGAGGCTAGTGGCCCCCAGCCTCACCTTTCTGTCTCTCCTTGTGCTCTACAACCCAGACTGTACCCTGTAGTACCTGGAAATTCCCGTGTTCCAGACAAAGACATTCGTGTAGGCGATTACATTATCCCAAAAAATGTGAGTAGAGCCTATGGGTCCATTTTGCTAAGCCATCCCTCACTATCTTGGCCCTGGTCCTGTTCTCAACTCTCCATAAGCCCTTCAAACCTTCTCCGGGCCTGAATGCTTCTCTCTGGGATAAAATGGGAGCAGTGGAGAAATCATTCCAAAAGCAGCCCCAGAAAATTTCCTCATCGCCCACCAGAGCCTGCCTTCATCCCAGTCCATATAGCCTCCTCTCCATGTCCCTCCCTGCATTCCTGGGCCAAAATTAACAAGTTTGGTTCCTTCCTCACCAGACGCTGGTCACTCTGTGTCACTATGCCACTTCAAGGGACCCTGCCCAGTTCCCAGAGCCAAATACTTTTCTTCCAGCCCGCTGGCTGGGGGAAGGTCCAGCCCCCCACCCATTTGCATCTCTTCCCTTTGGCTTTGGCAAGCGCAGCTGCATGGGGAGACGCCTGGCAGAGCTTGAGCTGCAAATGGCTTTGGCCCAGGTAAGTGATCTAGACCTTCTACCTTCTCCAGACAAGAGAGACCCTAACCCTCTAAAGCTGTGAGCTCTTCTGATAAGCATAGGAAAACATTTAAGACTTGGTAGACCTAATCCTCTGAAATATGTCAGTCCCATTATAGGCCTGGAAAGTTAGGGTATTTGGACTGTCTTTTCCCTACCATAATCCCTTATCCTGATTAACCAAGAAGTCCACTACCAGCCACAGGTGCCATTCCAACCTTGACCCTCCTAACACTAATAATGCCCATGACCGAAAAAGCCCACCATTGTAGACCCCTCCCATAGTGATAGCTTGCTTCCTTCCTTTTCAGATCTTGACCCACTTTGAGATACATCCTGAGCCAGGTGCTGCCCCAATCAGACCCATGACCCGGACTGTCCTGGTACCTGAGAGGAGCATCAACTTACAATTTGTGGACAGATAGTCTTGTGGAAGGAGGCTGTTATCACCCTTTCTCTCATCATAGGGGTTTATTAGGCACAGCACCAAGAGATGTGTATTTTCCCCTGAGGCCTGTCTATCTGATCACACTGGTCAGAATGACCATAGCAAAGTGTTTGAGGCAGCCCTAACCAAGGTGTGAAGTATGCATTTGGCCTGACCCAGCAGGCCTGGAGAAAACCATAGTCCCTCTGCCTGCTCAGCCCTTCTCCTGGTTATATCATATGCGTTCTTCAAGGGCCAACTCAGGTTTTAACTAATAATGCTGGGTGACCTGGGGAAGAATTCCACCACTGTCCTTCTGGGGCTTGCACAGTGTTCATCGATGCTGCTGGCTAAGCTCTTAGCACGACATGAGCTAAGTAATTGTGCATCTGGTCTGCACCTGGCTCCCTCTCTCCTGCGTGTGAGCTCTTTGAGAGGAAGGATGAGGCCTTACTCAGTTTTTGTATCCTCTGCCACGAACCATCCCTAGGTGACACCACACAGATTCTCAGATTGAATCTAGACCATGTGGCAGAAGGGGGAGCAGCTTACCAGGCTCTATCTGCCCTGCTCCTTCCTCACCTTGCCTCTAGGAAGGTGAGTTTGCCCTTGCCTGGTTTATGATTTTTAAAAAACTATCCTTGCCTCTCTGGTCACTATTAAGTTGGCTTGACTTAGTTCCCAGGCAGAGACATCTCTGGACCTGTCCCTGTGTATGCCTTCCTTTTATATATTGAATATTTTAAATAGTCATAGTTTTGAAATAAAAAAATTAAATGTCCCCTCCTTGACTTTTGACTTCTCTCCCACTTCCTACAAGACCTGGAGGCGAGACCCTCACTCAAATCCCGACCTTTGTTTATCAGGCCCTGGGAGTGACCCCATAATGTGGGAGGTCTAGACACCTGGAAGAGGGGTTTGCATCACAAGCCCAGACAAGTTTTTGTCTGGAGTGGGAACAGCCAAGTCTGGCTCCCTGGAAGAAATTAAAGGGGTGGTGGTGAAAAGTAACCACAAGGGCTAGGCTGTAAAAATGGGTTGGGAGCTAGGGATTTGCAGAGATGTCCAGAGGTGGCTGACTCTTTGGTAGAAGTGTTTTTAGAACCTGGACTGAAGGACATCCTAGAGTGGCCATCTGGAAAAGTTGCTCCAAGGTTTTTTCCTTTGAGAAAGATAGGGATACAGGCAGAGAAGTGAAGTAAGACAGGATAAAAGCTCAGTGTGGGGGTGGCCAGAAGCCCTGGGGCACCAAAGCAGAAGGGGGCTGGGCAGAGGGAGCCTCTGTTTCCCTGAGTCAGCACTCTCTGGCCCCCCAGAAGTTGGGCACAGCCCTCCCTTGTGATGTTTACAGATTAACTCATCTTCCATACAAATAAATCTCTCAGCACACTCCCCACAGCTCCCTCTGTAGCCCAGATTACCCTCCCCATGTCAGGACTCGTCCGCCTTCCTCCTGCTCCCTCCATACTCCATTCCAATTAGCTAGATGGAGATTTCACTTCACACTTCCTCCTCCCCACCACCTCAGCCCCTTACCCTAGACATGGCTCCCTAACCACAGAAACTCCATTAGCCACCACACCTTCTGGAGAGTGTCTATTTATGTAGGACCTACAGAGGGTAGGTTGTACCCAAGGCTCAATGCAAAGACCAAAGTTTGTGTGCCTTTACTGTCCCTTCTCTCAACTCCTTCTGTACTATACTCAGTCTCTAACCCTGTCCCCCTATCACTAAACTCAACCCAAACTTAAGTGACCCGATTTTTGGCAGATTTGAGCTTTGAGAGAATAAAGTCCCACCTCCTCTCAGACTCTTTCCCCTGGACTCCGTGATGAGAATTCTGCACACCCACACTCCTCATTGGGCAAGTTGGACTGCTCACTTGAGGGCAACAATTTCTATGACCCCTTTGCTGGACAAGAATCTCTAAGAAAAGGGAAGGATAGGGGATGGTACTTATTGTTGGTCCCAACCCCCATCCCAAGGCATCCAGTGGTGCTGAAAGGAAGAGGAACATACTGTCTTACTTGGCCTGGTTTTAAGACCCAGAGTGGAAATGGACCCAGTGTGTTTATGTGCCCATGTTCTTGGGATTGTTTAAACTTCCATGTGGGGCCATCATGGGGGATAGCCTAGGCTTGGTATAGGAAACCCAACTGTGTCATACCTACCTGAACCCTGTTTGCCAGGATAGGCGCTAGTAGTCACTCTGATTTGCTCCCATCTGCTCCCTACCAGCTATCCTGTGAATAGCAAATCAGTAAAGTCTGGCTCTTCTGTCTGCCCAAGTAGGGAATGTGGAGTGCTATTTCTCTGGGGAAACAATTTTCCACTGGAAAATCC